TTCAGCATCCCACTCAGGTCAGGAATTTGGAACACCTTCCTTTGTTCCTTGGAGGCAGTTTTTGGCTTCTTCAGAGTGAAGATCTTACTCCTTTCCATGATGCCATTCACATCCTGCAGCATCTTCATTGTTGACCCCTGCAACCAATGCTCCAGGTCTGAGATGAGATCTCTCAACAACTGGCTCTGTGGGACCAGCTCGCTCTTGGCCTGTTCTAGGTCATAGAGAGCATCTCCCTCCTCCTTTTCCAGCTCCTCAGTGTCCAGGATGCCTCTCAGTGTTTCAAACAATCCCAGATACTTTGGCTCTCATTTTATATGATTCTTCCAGGAAGTTCTCTCTTCTGATGTCAGTTTCCAACTTTTCAGCTTCCTGGTGCTCTGCCCTCAGCCTGTCCAGAGCTGCCTGAATCTCCTTATATTCCTGGGGCAACGTCCTCCATGAGGAATGTGTGGTGACCTCGGTGTTCTTGAGACCATTTGCAAAGCCAGCAAATGAACTTCCCATCCTTTTTACAGAAAAGCCAGAGTTTCTCTCCACGGCACACACAGAGATGTCCCTGTTGCTCCTCTGGGCTCAAAATGACCTAAATGTTTCCACTATGTTGGCCACATCCTGATTAGGCCGCAGGATTCCAGGCTGGTAACCGATTCGGCACACAGGGCAGCTGCTCTCCCTTTCTTCGCTGGTCATGGACTGCTTGTTGTTTGCAGTGATGCAGGCTTGGCAGAAGCTGTGCCCCAGTCCAGGTTCAGGGACTCTGTCAGGAGGTCCAGGCAGATGGGGCAGGTCACCTCCTCCTTTATGTTCACCAGGATTCTGGAAGACATCACAGCTGCTCCCCTGTTCCTATCTGTCCTGACCTGAGGCTCCTCTGGCTCACAGATTTCCCCAATCTTCCTGGGAAAAAGGCATGAAGAGATGCAGCCAGAGGGGCAGACGTGGTCAGGATTCACTCTCCAAAGCGGGGGCCCAAGTTCACCCTTTGAAAAACAAGGAGCCGGTGAGGCACATCAGGCCCCTGCTGGTACCTAGCAGCAAGTCTGGGTCTGCAGGGTGGCCCTGCGTGGGCTTCTTTGGAATCCCACTGCACTACACCAAAGTAATGTCAACATAAGAGATATTTGAACCCACAGAGAATTTTTGGTGAGTTTATTTGGGCCAAACTGACAATTGCTGGGAAGCAAAATCCCAACGGATTGAGAAATGCTCCCCTATTCTACATATTTTATGGAATAATTTCCAGCCATTGATTTTTTACCTCTAAAATAATATTCCTCTTATTTTTCTACTTCTACAGGTGTAAACTTCTATCTTCCCCTCTCTCCACCTCCATCTGCCAGTTTTGATTTCTGGCCAGCCTTCAGGCATATAGTAACTGCCAATTCACCTGGTAGGATCATGCCCTCCGTATAGAAATACTGTGGAAACATTAGTATGACATGCATATTCTTCTGGCTCAAATAGCTATGGATGTGTTTTTGTAAGTATCCCTTTTGCATTCAAAATCTGTAGCTAGTGTGTGTTCTTTTACCGGAGGTAAGAAAAATCATTCATATGGGCTATTTACTAGGAATGCACTCATTCTCTCTTTTTAAAGATTTTATTTATTTTTAGAGAGGGGAAGAGAGAGAGAAAGAGAGGGAATGGAACATTGATCAGTTGCCTCTCACATGCCCCCAGCCAAGGATCTGGTCTAAAACCCAGGCATGTACCCTGACTGGGAATTGAACTGGCAACTTTCTGGTTCTCAGGATGACGTCCAATTCACTGAGACACACCAGTCAGGGCAGAGTGAACTCATTCTGATTAGCATCTATCTGTCATTTACGTAGTTTATTTTCCAGTCATTCAGTCTAGGTCATTTATTACCTATTATTTTCTAGGCAGTGTGCTAGACACTAGGGTCGTAAAATAAATGTCACTGTCCTTCAAGCACAAAATTCCTAATTCTATTCCTGAAACTTTTACTAGTGACTTGTCTGAGTTTGGGAAGTCACTGGTGGGTCTCAGTTGCCCCACCAGTAATCTGAGGGGCTTGTATCAAGTGATCTCATAATTTCAAAACCTCTAACATCAAAGGACACAAAGGATGCGACTTCTTGTCTTAATTCAGTCATAAAATTGCTCAGTGCCTTTAAGCACAGTGTTTAGTTTCTGAATCTCAGTCTCTTCCTCCATAAAATAAATGGAACACTCTAGATCAGGTTTTTAAAAAGTGTGTTCCAAGGAACTCTTTTAATGGAACTTTCTAGGAAAAAAGGGTTCTGTGTTCACGAAAGTTTAGGAAATGCTGGAGTCAATAGGCTTCTTCACTTCTGGACTTCTTAGAAACATTACCAATTTTGTTTCATGACTCTCCAAGCAGGAGATAGCAAATGTGTTTCCCAAATTTACTTGACAATAGAATCCTTTTCTCCAGGAGCATCTTTATAGTACTAATAAATTGTCTTTCACAATACATTTGGGAACTGTCTTACTACATACCTCCTAAGGCCCTTTATTGTGGTAATACTCTCTCTCTTTGGATCAATTTCATGTCATAGATATCTGCTAGTTTAAGTTCTAATATAGCTGTGCTGTGTGCATATTGTTTGCTATGTTTCCCTTTTTATGTTTTTGATTCTTTTTTTAAAATGTACTTATTGATTTTATAGAGGGGGAAGGGGGAAAGAGAGAGAGAAATACTGACCAGCTGCCTCCCATATGTGCCCCAGCCAGGGATGGAACTGCAACCTGGGCATGTACCCTGATCAGGCATCAAACCAGCAACCTTCATTTTATGGAAGGACACTCCAACCAACTGAGCCACGCGGCCAGGGCTGCTTTTGATTCTTTTGGAGCACAAGCCATATAATCTCACCAACCCTGAATACATGCCCTGCCTGCAAAATCATGCATCTCATTAGTATTTTGGTCATTAGTGTCTAGAATAAGTGCGCAGTATGTAGGGAACTATTCTAAAGAGTAGCACAGAGGAGGCTCCTTGGGGAAAAGGGATGATATAGATGAAGATGAGAAATAACAGCATTGATAGAGCAGATTTCCATAAAAATTTTTTTAGAATGTGACATCTTAATAACTAAACATAGACTTTTCTATCACAGGACTACTGTTCCTGACTAAGCCTGTTAATATCTAGAGTAACAGAGCTGAGTGGCTCCATGCAAAAGTCTGTGTTCAACATCTGTCATGCTGCAGGTCATTAATGTTCAATTACATTCTATTGTCTTCAAATTACTCAACTTCTTTTCATTGTCATTGCTTCAGCTGGGGGTTAATCAACTATTTATGGGAAGACTGGACTTGGAGTCACAGCAGTCACAATGGGGTTTCAGTCTGAGGCAATCTCTGGAAAGCAAGTCACAATTAAAAGACTCCTGATTTGTTGAGAGCTTGTTAGTAATGTAATTAAACAAAATGGTTGAGAATAATGCTGACAAACCCATATTTCAAAAGGAAAAAGAACATACTTGGTCTTCCTGAAGAATCCAGAAATAATCCTGGCTTGAATCTATTTGAGACAGGTTTCTTTGCCACTTTATTCTTCCTTAAAAGCTAGAAAGAAGCTGTGATGAGAAAATCAAGCTAAGGGATTCTCTGGATAAATCAGCACATCATTATCAATAGTGGAAATCATGCTTCATTATTGTTACCTAGGACAGTTGACACAATTGAAACATCCAAATAGTATGAAGTATTTTCAGCTTTATGAGGTGTGGGAGGAACTTTCATTAGGAGCTATTTTAAAACCTCAAAATCACTTAGATGTTTCCATTATGCACATATATGTGCATTAAGATTAGTTTTATTAGATTTAAATGTCAAATTAATTGACTATCATCTTAATGTATGTCCCCAAAACATTTATGAACATGTGTTAGGAGAAATGGAGTATAAATTCTGAGTTAATTTACCTAAGTTTCCCAACTCATGCAATCCAATTATATGAGAATAATACAATTTTTTTGGCATACCATTAATCTCTTTTGATTGTTATGATAAATTATTCTGCAGAAAGCAGCCAAATTATTCGCACAGTAAAATTCCAGGTCTGCAATATTAGGACCTCCTAATTTGTCCCAATTTAATAGCTAATATTAAAATGTCAACATATGAGATCAGCATTATCCAAAATTGGCACACATCTTGACAAAGCTACATCTTTTACTAATCTGATACAGCGTATAATTTCAAGACCAACATATTCAACGTAAGTGATTTCTAAGAAATTTAAAACCTCGGTTAAGTTTTTGATATGTGATCTGCCCGTTGACATGCGGAAAATGGACCAAGCTCTCACCCCCACCCCCACCTTGTTATTCTTTTGGGAACAGCCAGGGCCCTCCAGATGGTGCGTTACTGTTGGACATAGCTTTGGAGAAACTTCAACAGACGATGGCTGTAATGTCAGGATTTTGCTGTGTATCGTCCCCCTTCCTCCCCCTGCAGTTCCCAGGGTAGGAAGGTGCTGAGATGGAAGCCGAGGGACGCCCGCCCACCTGCCACCACCTGTTTCCTCCTTCAGCCCTCCGCTATAAATTCTCCTCCCTCAAAGATTTATCCAGCATTCTCCCACGGCTACTGAGGAAGATGCGCTCCGTCCCTATCCGAGCTTCCAGAAAGATTTCACCTTCCTGAGAAGAAGTCTCGGGCTTTCCCAGAGGACTTGAAAGGCCTTCCCTGAACCAGCCACACTAAATTCAGCGGCAAGAAGTTTCCCTACTCTTTCTCAACTTCACGTTGGGAAAATGACTTTCTCTTCAGCATCTCAATTTCCCCTAACTTTGAGCAAGTGAAGAGGTATCAAACTGGTTATCAAGTAGGACAGAAGGGGGAGGCCCGTTCTTTCCACTGTAAACTCTGATTCCACGCAAGTTGCTGTGTGTATAACTTACTTGCTGAGAAGAGCCACGTTGGGGAGCTGCTCAACAGACCAGCCCACAGCGCAGTTTCTGGGCCCGCGAGCGAGCTCGGCGCCTCCCTCCTACCGGCGGGGAATGAAGTCCTGCAAGCCCAGCAATCCCGCGCCCGGAGCGCGTGCCGCGCCCCCGTGCGCTGGCGGCGCCGAGTGCGCGGGCGCGTGCGCCGGGGCCGGCCGGCTGGAAAGCGCAGCGCGCAGGCGCCTGGCGGCCAACGCGCGCGAGCGCCGCCGCATGCAAGGACTGAATACTGCCTTCGACCGCCTGCGCAGGGTGGTACCTCAGTGGGGCCAGGATAAAAAGCTGTCCAAGTATGAGACCTTGCAAATGGCTCTGAGCTACATCATGGCTCTGACCCGCATTCTGGCTGAGGCCGAGCGATTCAGCTCGGAGCGGGACTGGGTCAATCTCCACTGCGAGCACTTCGGCCGCGACCACTACCTCCCGTTTGCGGGCGCGAAGCTGCCGGGCGAGACCGAGCCCTATGGCCAGAGGCTCTTCGGCTTCCAGCCGGAACCCTTCCAAATGGCCAGTTAGGGCGCGCGGCGGGGCCAGGGGTTATGCCCACGGATCTAGCTCCGAAGCTGCACCCCTTTTCCCGGTGTTGGCAGGGGCTTTCGGTGGCCAAGGATACGTTCTTAGAAAATTAGCAAACTTTCAGGTTACTTTTATTCGCATCACTAGTCTATGGACACAAAAAATACTATTGTTTTCCCTTCTTAGCAGTATTTTGCAGATTTCGTTGATGGATCTTATGAATGCTTTTGATTGCTGTGAAAAAATTCCCCTTCTCCCTACTCTGGACTACTTTGAGGGAAAACAGTCCTAAGAAAAAATAGAATTAGGCTATACTGCAGTTTTAGTCCTCAGAGAAACAATCACTTGCTTAAACTTTGTAAGTTTGCCCTATTCAGACGAAGTCACAGTATCCATTCCTTGTGTATCCTTGAAACAGAGCTACCTTCCTGTCTTGTAAATGCATTTATGCTTAGTGCATTGTGTGTGCATGCGTAGAGTAGTCAGACATTTTTTCCCCCGTAGAGTACATGGGCATGAATGCTCTGTATTTAAAAAAAGAACTGTATACATTATTAAAATATAGATTTTGTAAAACATAGATAAAAAGGTGAGTTTGTTTTTTGTGCTAGGGCCCCTGCTAGTTTCCTGATAGCACTAAAGGCCTATTTTGGGGTGATGATATTGAGTGCTTCCCTGAGCAAAGAATGTTTAAATCTAATCACACCAATGGTAAATGTGCTGTTTTGTAATGCTTTCTCAACACCACCCCCCTACAAGCTATGTGAGTACAAGTAGTTAATTTGAAAGTTTTCTCTGTCAATTTGGAAATGTAGATATATTTTTCATGTTTGTAATGATTAAAGTAACTGAAATATTTAGTTTTAAGTAGCTAGATATACAATTCCTCAATATTTTATCTTCTTTATTAAGCCAATTACTATTAATTCCTACAAGTACCCAAGTATATATACATTGTTCCTGTATTTGTCCTTATACTACACACACACACACACACACACACACACACACACACATAAAGTAACATTAAGATAAATAAAAAATGTTGCTTTTGGAAGTGATTTCCTTTTAATTAGTACAAATTGAGCAGTAAGAACTTCACTACCATCAAGGCTAATCGAGATGGGAGCAAAATAATACAGATGGTATTTGCATGAATTATTTTTATAAATTTGCTCACCCACTGGATTAATAAACCAAACCTTAACAGAAAGAGTGACTTTGTTGTCAACAGCACTGAATGCATTTGGAACAAGGAATGTCTTGTTGATAATTAGAATAAGTAGGACTCAAAGTTATCTTTGGAATTATCGCAAGTCAACAAAAACAATAATGAATCTTCAAACTGTTTTATTATGGATTCCAATGCCTAACATCAAATACAACCATCTATTTGCAATTGAGAGTCTCCATTAAAATTTTTACTTTCTTAGACTAATTATCAAAATCCATTTGGTTTGTAATGAATCTGTCTTCCCCAGCACATAAATTTATACTTAAAAAATCACAAGTGTATCTCTAGAAATCGATTGAGAGACTAATGATAAATTTCCTTTCTGATAGCTGATAAGAAACTGAAGAGGGTTGAGGATTTTGCTTCCATACTGTAAATTAGAGTAAAATGTGTAACTTCTTGACCTCAAGAGCTCTTAGAAGACACTACCATGTAGCAGTCAACACAGTTCTAGAAGGATGATGCTAGGCCCCTTTTCTGGTTACACGCCACTCTGCAGTGTACATTTGGGCTAATGACTAGTCTTCAGGCATCTGCCTGCCTCACTATTTAGGTACAATAACTTAATTATTTAGACTTAAAAGGCTTCATTAATAACCCCAGTAAATTTGTAGAGTTTGAGAATGAACAAAATTGGTGTAAAAAAGAAGTATTGATCAGAGAAGCTCTCAAAAATGTGTTAAGATCGCTAGTTCGTTTTCAGGTTAGGGTTCACACCCCCCAGCCTGGACTGTGAATAAATATCTTATGAAAGAGAATGTTCTTTTCATTTTCTCTCTACAGCTTTTAGTACAGAGGTTTAAACAGAATAAACAAATATTTCTTTTATAGTTATTAACAGCAGTTTCTTAATGAAATTGAGCAATTTAATTAAAATGATGGGATTTGAATCCCCTGCCTCTCCTTTCCTATCCCCACTCTCCCAAAAGAATGGGAATCTCTCTGTTAAATGCTGTGCCTTTAGCTGCTTGTTTCCATGTTTTGGAAATCTTTGGAAACAGTTTAGCTCTTACCAAATCCCTAAGCTTTCCATTTGACTCGATGTACAATTTTTTTTTCTTGGAAGACATTTCTGGGAAATGTAAGTGGGTCTCAGTGATCCACTGCATCCAATCTTTGATAAAACTCTTCAAACTGTATGTTGGGAAATCAATCATGGTTTATGGATTAGGAACTTGGATAAAGCAAGTGTAAAATTTTTTTGAAGTTGAGATATGCATCATAGATTTTAGATTACCAAGCAAACTAAAAGTTGCTACAAAATTCTGTACTGCTCACCTTTGAAAATCCATGTTCTAGTTTGAGAGCAGGACATATTGAAATTCAAATATATATATTATTTGTTCAAATTCAAATGTATATAATCAAATATATATAAATATTCTGGCTTTCCTTTTTTTTTAATAAATCAACAAATATTATCAAGTTCCTACTCATACCCAGGCTTACTCAAAACCATCTTTGTCCTTGGGTAGGCAGCTAGCAACACACATGTATTAATCAGTAAGTAGCCCTGGACAGAGTATAGCTGAATACTTCAACAGTTTACTACCATATGTGCCACAAGAACTCTTAAGAGGGGCATTAAATAATAAAAGAAGACTCCTCCCCCACTCTCCTGGACAGAGTTTTTCATTGGACCAGTTGTATGTCCCTAGGTGCCAGCTGGAGGTTTAAGCCCTAAGCCTCAGGGTCAGAAGCCTTGAAGAATCATATACAAGTGAAATGGGCTATCAAAATGGGAAAAGCCATGTAAGCCTCTGGTTCTCAACTCTGACTGCTCATTGGAATCACACCAAGGGAGTCTTGGAAAGAATACAAAGCCTGGGGCTCCAGCTCAAGAACTGATTTAACTGCTCTGAGGTGAGGTCTGGGCATAGATATTTTTTAAATGTCCCCCAGGTGATTCTCATGGGCTGGCATGGTTGAGAACCATTTAATTAAACAATATTTACTGTTATACCATTAACCTCATTACCAAAAACAGATTATATCAACTTCCCATTCTTTGTATTTGCAAATGTTAAGAAGGATTAGGTTATCTTTCTTAACACCCAACGCATCCAGTTTCTAAGTTGTTGTGGTGCCATTTATTTTAATTAAGATCTAAAATTTCTGCTAGATATGAGCCAGATAGTATTTGTTTGAATTGCTGGTGACAGAGCTGCAGGATTCAATGGTTAAGGCTCAGTTCACTTAAATTATGCCACTTTACAGTAAAAGTGAAGTGCTATTTTTTAACTGAATTTGGCTAGACTCTGCTCTCTGCTTTCTTCAGGCATCACTAAAGATATCTCTTTTTATTACTAAGGAGGTGAAAGAAATTTCAAAGTGCATATAAGACCATATATATATATGACCCCGGAAGAAAAATATATCTTCTCGGAATGTATACCCATTTTGCTCTCTGGTTATGAATACACTAGTGAGTACAAGCTTTAACAACTTTTATTGAGTTAACACAGGATGTTTAGTTTGCTATTTCAAGCTCGAAGTGTAACCAACAAATACCTGAGCTGAAAGAAAATCACTGACAACAAGAACTTACCCATCTCACATGCGAAGTCTGGGAACAAAAACAAAACACAACGAACCCAACAATTAATTGAGAATAAATAAAATTTTATTTAATGAATAAGGAAACAGTCCATCACATCCTCCAAATTGCTTTTTAAAACATCCAGGTGGAATTAAATACTGTTTTTTAATTCTTATTTTTCTTCTTCTAATTGCAAAGTTTCCAAACAAAACACAACCCTCCACAAATATTTAAGAGAGCACGATTAGAAAACAGCAGCGGGTGTCCATGGAGATGGCATGGTCTACCGGATTACAGTACCGTATGTCTTCTGAACAAAGATGCGGTTTATGCTCACAAACGTTTTGGCTTAAGTGATCAGTTCTACAGACTATTTAACATGCACGATGCAGAGGAACAGGAATAAAGCCAAGATCCATTTATTGTCTTCTAGTAATCGTGGCAAAATATACAGTTTATATAATGCACGCATTTCAAAGTGGCTACTATAATGACTTTTCCATTAGGATTTCTATAACTAAAAAGGTTGGAAAATAAATTGACTTAAGCTTCCTAAGATGGAAGCATACCATGTTTGTGAGTTTTCTGGGGCTCTGTGTGTTTTCCAGTGGAAAGAACTCATGCAGGAAGAGAAAGGAAAAGTGTAAGTCAGAGATGTTACTTGATTCTAATCGAATTAGGTTAACTATGGGTGCTCCATGACTCCTTACTTAAAGCGTGTGTGTGTGTGCATGCATGCGTTGCACATGTGGATACATTCCTATGGCACATATACATCCTTTGTCAGTCCTCATGGCTGAATTGAACATTGGGATTAACTTCAGACTTGATGTAGCTGTGAATGGAAAAACAGACACCAAAAGATATGCTCAATTTTGAGGGTCCATTGCTACCTGTTATCCTAAACTTGATTCATTTCAGTGTAAGGCGACTGACATGCTAGAATGGAACGTTTCTTCACTGGGGTCTGGAACTGTACAATGGTGTTGTCGTGAACTGCTGAAGTCAGAAAAGAGTACAGCAGCTCCTTTGCTGTTTCTCTGTGCACTGCCGAGTCATTTTTTCACCAGTTTCAATCACAGACATAAGAATCAGAGTTCCCTTTGGCGATTCTCCCCACATCAAAATAAATTTCCCTGGACTCTGCCTGCAGAAAGCAGGTAGGATATTTCTTGAGTTCATTTATTTTTCCCATGTATTTTTTTTTAACTGCATATCATCTTGGAGGAAGATTTTGCCATTATGTCTTACCCTTCTAAGAAAAAACAAAGTAGTGAGGCAGGAAAGAAAGGTGAACTTTTTAAATGAGTTAACTACTTACTTTGACAAAAAGTATTTTTAACATTTCTCTTGGAATAAAAAAAAAAACCTGCTACTACTTTTTTTAGGGTCTCTAAAATAAACTCTTTATAAATATTTATTTATCCTATCCTCCATCTGCGGAAAGGCTCAACTATTTTGCTTATTTTATAGATAAAGAAACAGAGACCCCTGATTTCTACAAAAAAATTAGAAAATGTATCTGAAAATTCATCAGAATTATTAAAATTCCTCTTGTTTCTAGGAATTCACTCAAGAATTCCTAGAAATAAGGAGCTCTCCTAGTGTTATTAAATATTTTACAGATTTTTATTTTGGCATTGAGGTAATGAAGAGAGAAGGGCTTATCAAGAAACTTAATACTAAAGATTGAAAAAAGTAAGTGAAAATTAATCAGAAAAGAAGATAAAGTATCTCTGAAATCAAAATACTGAAAAATAAAATTTAACATACCAGTGTATGTTAAGAATATAGTTGCATTCAAATTATGTCATTTGAATTACAGGGTTTTTAACTCTCCTTAAAATAAACAGTGAACTCATTTATACTGTGCACATATGCACTAGTAATCTTTTGGCTGTGACCACTATAGACAATAATAGTATATAGTGCACTGGATTCTGAAATCACTAAATATGGGAAAATTACAAGAATCTGCCTCTAGTTTGCAGATAACTCACTGAATCTGTGTAGAAATATCAGATTCTTTGGACAATTTTAGAACAATTGAGCAATTCACTCTTATCATACTATATTAAAATAATTAATTTCTTGTGAGTATTAGAATACCTCATTGTGTGACAAACTATACTTGTATCTCCATTAATTTCCAATCTAAACTGGTCTAAAAGCCTTACTTTTTAAAGTGTCTCTGTTTTCAGTTAGGAAACAGAATGAATTTTAATCTTAGGTTGTTAAAGAACACTCTGTGAGAAGTCTGGTGAATCTACTGGATATTTTAGAAAGACTAAAACCCAGTCATCTTTCTGTTGCTCTAGAGATATTTAGCTAGGTTATAATTCATGTAGTAATTTATACAATTATAAAGATAATTTTTAAAAATCCTTTTTAAAAATCTCAAATATCTTTGTAAATTAAAAAAATCAGTTCTAATATCATCAAAAAGTAATTTTTAAACCTGAAAATTAGAACTGTTTTCTGCTTTTTAAAGAAAAATGCACATTCATTTCAATTCAGCCTTAAAATATTTTCAAGTAATATTGAAATATCTTAATTTTTATTATTAGGGAAACATTTTCTATTCACTAATATATTAAAATCTTTTGGCAAATTAGTGTTTATATGCCTCTACAGTGCAATCATTTTCTTAATGCTTACTCTTAGCATTTATGGCACAATTTTCAGAGGATTGAAAAGTGTGATTTCTCTATTTCGTGCAATTTCAAAGCTATTGCTCTTTGGAGTTTGAAGTGACCATTATTTACATGTTAACAAAAGGCATCCTGTTTATGGTTCTATAATACCAAGCATGCTAACTAATATACAATTAGACAGAAATAAGAAGCAAACATATCTTTAACAAGTATGCATTTTTTTGCACTGCACAGATTTTTAAAAACATAGTATTTGCAACTTCTTTAGCATATTGATGGCCACTGCACTGTCAAAGTTTAAAAGATGCTTGGCATTCTTCAAGCAAAGCTTTGGTAATTAACTTTCTGAAATATTGATCCACTTAAAACAAGAAAAGGCAGTTAGTGGTGAAAAGGACTTTAACAAATTCTATTGCAATCTAAGTAACTATACATCTTACTGGTAAGGCACGTTGATTTTCAACTTGACCTTCAGCAGAAATACTTTGAGGCAGGTTACCCAAGGACCCTGTAAGGGACCTTGAATAGAAGTTATTATGAGTAAATTTGTCTTTAAATTTACAACCAACTTAGAGCACATAAACAAAGAGACTCAGGCCAGGGTCCCAGCTTGGAAAGTGCTTTGGGAGTATGTGGGGAGGACAAGGACTGGAGGAGGCTGTGATCAACGAGGACAATCTGAGTGTCTGACCCAGTCAATTTTCTAAATCTTCTCTCACAATCTGACTTTTTAAACTTTGTCTAATTCTATGAATTAGAAGTTGATGGGAGTAAGAAGGCAACTTTTTTTTTTTTTTAAATGTAGCACCTCTGGCAAAGTTAAGGGCGTTCAGAATCTGTTCAGTTGGACTACTTTCTTCAGAACATCAAGCGACGATGCATGAGCTGGAGTGAGATCATTTTGGATCATAAAGCACGCTGGCGCGCTGACAGGGACAGGGTGAGATGGGGTGGGTTACAGCAGGGGGTTAGAGCACACGGAGTTCGGGGCACCTGGGGAGAAAAACACAGATTGGGGATAGATACAGAAAGGACCACAGACATTCTTGAACGTTGACATATGATAGACACAAAAAGGGAGGAGGAAGAAGTCTGTCTTCTCTTTTATTGACTGTTTTGCCTGGATCTCTGATTGGAATCAGACCCAATCAGGTGTAGTAAATACTGTAACTCAGTCATGAATTAAATGGGCTTTACTGGGTTTACTTGGGGATCTAATATTGGGTGAATATGTAAGAAAATATATTCTGAGTTTTAAACAACCAATTTACAAGTGAACATTTAGAAGGCAACCCATTTATCATTTGAGGATTATCCAAAGCAACCCGTCCATACAGAAGTCAGCTTTAACCCCTCTGGGATTCAGAGCTCTAGCTCTAACACCGCTAGTCTCTTGACCATTTAATTTCTCATTGGATCCTTACAAAAATTAAGTGATGAATGAAAATAGAAAAATGCTTTAAACCAGTTCCACTATTTGGCAATTATGATTAAAACCTTACTTTGGAAAGCTCTTCAGTTCTTTGGAGAGAAGGGTGTTTACAGGATCAGTATAGCATTTTGAAACAAAGGGCCAGATGAATTGCACCGGCTTTCCCTCTTTCCCTGGTCCGTTTTTGCACATTTTTGAGGTTCCCCTGGGGGCTTCAAGAATGCTACATGTCTAAGGAACATTGTGCAGAACAGTAGGGTCTCATGAGGCTGAAGTGCATATTTATTTCTGCTTTCCGGGTGCGCATTGCATGGACAACAAGGGGAGTACATTCTTCACCAAAGCCAACACTTCAGCTTGATGCCATCTGCATCCCTTTGGACCTTTCTGGGTAAGTTCTGAAACGACTCTTCTGAGCCTTTGCTCTCATTGGAATCACCTGGGAAGCTTTAAAAAAGAACTGGCGCCTAGGCCACAACTCCAGAACTTATGACTTCCTGATTTGGGGTTGTCACTTGGGCATCAGGATTCTTAAAAGCTCCCCAGGAGATTCACTTTATATTGACTTATATAGATTTAAAGTTCAATTTAGGTCAGTAAATATTTATTGAGCACCTAATCTTATAAGGGACATGGCAAACTTGTGACACAGTCCATACCAACAGGTAGCTAAGATCTAGTGCAGGCAGGTATATAGAGGCTGTGTTTTACATAAAATACTATACAAGGTTTTCTTCTTCCAGACTCAAGACATTTGCTATAAGGTTTCAAAGAAAGTAGAATTGTATTTGATTGGGGTCTGGGGAATCAGAAAGTATTTCACAGAGGCACTAGCCTTTGAGATCGACTTTCAGAACAGATAAGGTTCCCACAGGTGTTGACCAGGGAGAGAGTCTTCCAGCTCGAGGCAAAAGGGAGGCATGTGGCTGGAAAGCAGGGGCCTGTGTTAAGTATGCTGCCACATCAGGTGTGTTTTCTGAGTAGTGGGTGAAAAGCTTGGGAATCGTATTGGAACAAGGCTTGAATACCACAGGGCAGAACAGCTGGCACCTGAGTTGGCTCCAGGGAGCCCCTGGGGGTTTGAAATTGGGGAATAATATGGCTGGAGTAGTACTTCCGGGAGAATGAGTAAGGCTGAGATGTGGGCTGGATTTGAGCAGGGAGAAACAATAGGGCTAGAGGCAGAAAGGCCGCTTAGAAGTATTTTATTATGCTAAGGTCAGAAATATTGAGGGAAATTAAGAAAATAATGGAAGTCTGATTGGAGAACTGTGATGGGGTGTGAGAAGGAAGGGCTAAATGTACATAAATAGTGTTAGAATAAGCAGGATCTGTCAATTGATTGGCTACAGGAAGTAAAAAAAATGACTTGGGTGCTTTCTATTTGGATTACTAAGTGTAATTAATAGAAATTATTAAACCAGGTTGAGGAATCATTTACAAAAAGGAAGATGGTGAATCTGCTGGATATGTTGAGTTCAAACATATCCAGCACAACAAATTTCTTATATAAGTATTCCTCATTGTAATTGAATTATCTTAGAATACTCAAAGCAGAGCACTGATTTGTTCAACTCAGTGGTTCTCAACAAAGGGGGATTCTCATCTCAGAGAACATTTGGAAATATCTGGGAATGGTTGAGTGGCCACAACAGCAGGATTGCTACTGGCCGTTAGTGGGCAGAGGCCGGGGATGCTTCAAAGCATCCTAGAATGCACAGGACTATCTCCCTCCAAACAGAGTTATCTAGCCCCAAACGTCAATGATGCTGAGGCTGAGAAACTCTGCTTTAACATGACCCACACACAGCTCAAATTTCAAATGGGGAAAAGGGAGGGTGGTTGAGGGCAATGCTTTTCTATTTTAGGTCAGACAGCACCATCTAATGGCCAAATATAACAATATTTATCCCAGGTCTGTTGAACACTAAAAGCCAACAGATAAAAAATATTCAGAAAGCAAAGACATATCCTTTCATGGGAGAACTGTCTAGGGTTTACAAATGGAAATATGGTGGAGAGGTCGGGTGTGCAACTGTGAAGGAGCGATCCTGGAGTTAGAAACTTCTCTTTGGTTATAAATTTCATAATAGAAGCCAGTATGGAAATAGGACATTTTACAGGATGCATTCAATATGAAATGCATTATATTTTATTACAGATGCCTACACTCTTAGTATTGTTCCTGCATACATGAAGAAAGGAAACAAAATCTAATAATTTTGCTAAATAATTGACTGAAACCTTGATTTTAGAGTCAAGAAAAATGTAGGATGAAGAGAACTAGAAACTTCTATGTGATAAAGAATAGATTTTTCTTTTTGCTCCAGGAAGCAGTCCTCTACATGGCTTATATCTCATCTCCTCTACTAGACTGTAAGCTCCCTGTGGTCAGGGACTGTGTCTTATTCATATCTTTGTATCTCCCAAGGTCTCAAGCATAGCACCTTATATACACAAAAATAATTTTTTGAGTGAATGAATTTATTTTTACACTGAAAATCCTTGCCTTGAAGTAAAGAAAAATAAAGTTTCAAGACTTTCTAAGCAATTACTATTTGCCCACTTCAATAAGATGCCTGCTGAGAGTGCTGACTCAGGGAACACCAGAGACTTGGGTACAGGGGGCTGGTAATAGATACTTCCAATTCCTATCACTGGTGAGCCTGGGAGCAAATTGTGCTGTGATGAGTATTCCCAGGGCATTTTTTCTGACTGGCGTGTGAATTGTAGATTTCTTTATCTAATGTAAGATTCATTCATCCAACAAATATCTATTGAATGTTTACTCTGTGCTAAGTACCCTTCTAGGCACTGGGGATATTGCAGTGAATTTAAGTTTAAAAATTTCTTAAGTTGAAAGGTAGGTTCTGAATTGGTGGATTAGAATAAAGAAGCAAATTCCCTTTTACTACTTTCCAGTTAGCATTATATATTATATAGAGAAAATGCAATTTGATTAATGATCTCAAAGCAGCTGACAACCATTGAAGACCTCTGCTTCCATAACCACTGCCCTGTGAGGGCAAGTGAAGAACACTCTCCCATCACTTCCTCCCCTTGTTGCATCTGTTTTTTACTCACTGTCTCATATACTTCCAGACTTTTGGGAGAGGGGAGGAGGGGAAGGATCAATATATTTATGGGCAGAGGATGATGATTCTCACATATTTTGCAAGTGGCAATTTAAGCTAATAGTTTAAAAAGCATTCCCTCAGAAGAGTTCTTTCTGGTTGGTTTATTAACAACTCTTTATTTGTAGAGTCTAGGAATACATAAATTCAGAAAGAAAAACCACTCACCATTGTCTCGAAAAGAAAATGGTGGGGACAGGTGGGTGGAGCCCTGTATTTGGCTATAGAAGAAGTGCACTGTGCAATATTGACTGTTTCAGTGGTTTTGTATCTCAAGCATATTACGTTGCCTTACATGGCTCAGTACACTCAGGATAAGCAAATCAGAAATGCTTCTCCACATATGTGAGTTGTATGGCACAATCTCCTAATGCTAAGTAGACGCTGACTTAATGAAGCCACCAAAACTACAGCTATGAATGTAATCAATGAAGGGTGATGGAGACCTTCCCATCTTTTTCCTTTGCATTGTTTGGTGAGTTAGTAACGCCTAAGGTCACTACTGTCTAACTCTTCTCAACCCAAGCATATGGCCCCTAATTGCTCCTAGTAGGGCCTAAACATCCCTAACACAGCATGGGGCAGGGAGCATGCTAGCTTTTCCCCAAAGCAATGCATGGCAGCGGCATGACATCTTTGGTTCATCTGTTATTGTCTTCTCACATTTTTGTTGGAATCTTTAAAAGGCACAGCCCTATGTCTCTTCCCCAACTGAGACTGCAAGAGTCCCCAGCTGTCTCATACAAAGCACTTCTTGCCATAGGTCCAGCGGCATGGGAACTTACTCAAATCCAGTTGCTTGGAAACCACTGGCTCTGGCTTGTCCACCTTCCCCCTCCACAGTCTGCCCCATAACACAGGAGATACCCAGACTTTCTTAAAGTTCATCACTCTCTACTACACTCCGAGAAGAGCATGAATACACCACTGTGCTTTCCGTAGAGGAGAAGGCAGAGAAAATGTCAAGTCCTTTACTGGTGAGAGATCCATAGCGACTGCCACTGGGCCGGATGGACATGGGCGGCGGGATCTGCTGGTGCCACTGAGCTGGAAAATGGACCAAATAACATGTTGCCATCAAAGGAATACAGTCTAGTGGGTTCACTGTAGGTGAGCGTTCTGCTGCCACTCCAACACTTTCTGTGGGATCTTGGTAAAGCTTTTAAATATACCTGGGTCTGAAATGCCTCATTTGTAAAAGAGGACAATAAAATCTCTTCTTCTCTGCCAGGAATAGGGAAACTGGGCTAGTGATCTCCTAAATCCCTAATTCCAAAACCTGTGATTCTAATTCAGCAAGATCTGGGACTATCAGAAAGAAGAGTGGGTGAGTAGGGTTATCTTTCAAAATTATTCCCTCACCCCAACCTAGCACAGAGCCTGTGAGGAGCAGTGGAGACTCTTGGAAGGTGGAGAAAAGAAACCCGTGGAAATGGAAGCCAAAAGATGGGTCCAGACCTCTGAGAAGCACCTATCCACACTCCCATCATCCTAACCCAGCACCCTAATCAGGTTCCAATGAGTTACAGCAAGAAGACTGAAGAGTACTTATGTGCCATCAATCATGGTTCAGGGCAAAAGAGTGTATTAGAGGTTACATGTTCATGAAGCACAGTCCAAAGGAGACCCTGTTTTTTTTTTGTTTGTTTGTTTTTGTTTTTGTTTTTAGCAGTCATTAGGCTTGAACTATAGCCTGAATGAAATATCCACCCAAAATGCCCAGTCCTCGCTGTGGTCACCGATTCAGAAATTACCAAGCAGAAATTACAAGAGGGCTTGATGTGGATAAGGGGGAGCATCAAGTGGGGAACCCTGAGGTTCTGGGTTCTAAAAAAGTATGGACCCTTTTAGTATTCCCATTTATAAATTGGTCCTTTGTTGATTTTATTGTTTTGAATCAGTTTTGCAGAGTTTAAATATTTCTGAATGAAGGGATAAGATCAAACTTCAGAAGCTATAAAACTGAAGGCAAAACTTACAGCAATTCCACTAAAGAGCAGGCACTTGGGAGGCTGCCATGAAGAGCTAGTCGAGCCTCTCCCCTGAGCCCAACTCCTCTTAACAATTCCCTGCTCTGACATCTTACCCAGACGACTATAACTGCTATTATTAAAAACTTTCTTTTCAATGAGAGAGAGGAGCCTACTGTCCCCATTTCTCAGACAGGCAGGAAATGGTGGTGAGGGACATAGTAGATTCATTTTAGCCCAATTCTACCATCCCCTCCTCCATTCCAAGGTCCTAATTAAGGACATAGCACCTCCTATTGGTGCTGTGGAAACAGGACAGGAGCCACGAAGAGGTGAGCCAGGACATAGCACACTTGGCCACTGGAGGGCAGGATTGGGACAATAGTCATCAGTTTCAGGGTTTATTGGCACTGAGTTGGAGACCCATTTACTTCTGACACGGTGAAGCCTGTGAAATGGTTAAAGGACTTAGCCTAGATTAAGAAACATATCACTCCAAATATTAGACCTAAGGAAAAGGGCAGACCAAGCCCCCTCCTGTATTGCATTTAAAAAAGGGGATACCTGGTGAGCACCTATGAATAGCAGGGACCTCAGGTTCTAGACAGCTACTCTTGTTATTCTGGTTAATCATGTTAAACCGATAATAAACAAGAAACTTTAAAAGTGACCGACTATTTTTTTTTAAAGGAGGAAGAAAAATCACTCTTTTGGGTTAGGGAATATGTCTCTAAAAATACCAGTTAATGTCAAAATTATAGAAGAGAAGAATAGAGTACACAAACACTTTAACAAAGATTAATTCATTGAATCTTTTAAAAATTAGAAATATGGCTCAAAGGAATGATACAAAACCTAGGATTTTAGTACTTAAAGTACTAGATGTAGTACTTAACCTCTCTGAGTCTCAGTTCCTTCAACACTTAAATAAAAGCAACAACAATTACAAAAATCTCATGGGTTTGGGAGATCTAAGGGTACTATTATTTTCTAAGTTATGTTACTATACAAATGTCATTTGATATTATTATTAGGACAGCTCTTTATTATTTGTTTGATTGTGGAATCGGGACAAAAATATTTGTGAAATGAATTAATAACTTAACGGCATCAAGAAAAGTCTGCTGGTGTGGCTGGAGGGAGTTCCAGTGGGTGGCCCTCAGCAACAAGGAGACAGCATGAAGATGCTGGGTGAGCAGAAGTACAAGCACGTGGAACCTCTGAAGTCGCTGTAATCCCTAGCATTAGAGGGCCTGGTGTGGAAGAATTTTAAGCTCATAGTAAAATGTAAAAGTGTACCAAGCCCTGAGTTACTTTTCAAGATGAAATAACTTTAAAAATCCATCTCCTAAGCATTTAAATATAACCCCTCCGATTCATTTATGGAAACATACTACACCTATCCTTTAAAAAAAAGATACTTTAACTTGCCCATCACACATAGATATTCAACTGATGCCATTATACCTACCATATATATCCAACCTAGCAGTGCATGACACGATGCCAACTTCGTTCTTGGCTGATAACGTGTACCATCCAGCATCTGATTTCTTGGCTGGCTGAATGAGGAGGCAGACATACCCTGTTGTGTCCTGGTGCATGCTGGAGAAAAGAAAGAATATATCCCTATTGTGTCTGGGGACAGAAACAGCCTTGTTGAGGTTAGAGGACAAATCCAGCACTGCAGTGCTTCCCCTCCCTCCCCTGTCCTTAGGCGGAGGAAGCGGGGACTCAGCGTAAAGCAAACATTAAGGGCAATCTTGAAGATGAAAAGAAGTCACAAAAAAGCAGCAATTAACCTGCTGAGACTGTAATGAAGGCTGAGGCTGGTTCTTGTCCTCTTTGTTGCTCTAACTCTCCCAGAGTCATAGTCCCCACCAGCTGTATCCCCACTTGTCACAACCAAAGTCCAGAAAAACCTCTTTTCCAAACCAGGTTGGACATTTCAACATGGACTTTGTTAGGAAGCTATGGGAAAGCTTGGTCTTACGCCCAGGGATAGAAGAATTGTTAGCGTAGAGGGAGTAGTTCTTAACGCAACCAACTGGGCATGTGTAGCATTAAGCGAAATATAGTTCAGGAGCAAACTGGCACGCTCTTCCTGCTGTTTCCTCTGCATCAGTACTTCTCCACCTTGGCTGCAGATTGCAAGCCTGGACAATTCCACCAGAATTCCAGGCTGGGTTTAACATGTTACCTTCATTTAGGCTGAAGTGTTAGCTTGAGAATATTCTCAGTTCTTGCTTAAGTTTTACCAGAGAAAAAGCCTGACCTATATATACACAGACTTCTCAGATGCCCAGATTTTGTAAATCCTGACAGCTACAACATTCTCTGGGACAAATTCTAGTGCCTGTAAAGAAATAATTCTCAGTAGGAGTTTTTATACACCAGCTGCCTTTGTGTGCTTGCCCCCTTGTGGCATAAAACCTAAATGGCAAAGAAATAAAGAGGTTAGGGGAAATCAAGCGAGGCATCCACCTGAAGAAACTGAATCCTTAAAGTTACTTTAAAAACAACCATGTAGTGATGAGTAGAGGAGTATAGCTGCCTTAATGTTTTGTTTTGATTTATTTTACTTTAGCTTATTACTGTCAAAGAGGTTTTCTGGGTGCTAATATGACTAAAGACACATGACAAAAACTGCATGATCTTCATAAATTCCTTGTTCATTTGTTTGTTTGTTTTAAGTTTTTATTGGAATTTATTTAAGTCAAACAGACAACATATGCTAGGGAGGAAGATTTCAAAGGCCCCTCCTTGTACATTTTTAAACTTAAAAAATCTAGGTTTTAAAACTGTGGAACATTCATACAATAGACCACCCTCTGGCAACAACAAGGAGTAAATTCTTGATATGTACAACAACATGGACAAAACTCAAATGCATTAATCTCAGTGAAAGAAGCCAGGTGCAAAAAGCTACAGACCTATTTGGATGAAACACTGAGCTTGCAAGTCCCTTTGAACATGGAGACTGTACCTGATCCTGTCTCTGGTAAAAGGGATGGTCTCATTGTCCTTCTTCCAGTAGAATACGGGTGGCGGCATGCCTATCACCCGGCACTCCAGCCTCACGGGGTGGCCTTCGGGAACTCCACAGTTCTGCAGTTTCTCCAGGATCACAGGGGCTTTCTTCACCTCTTTGGCTGAACAAGAGAAGGACCACTCTTATCTGAATAGAAAGTGCTGTGGGGTTCATTCCTCAAACTCATTCCAGTTCTGGAACTTAGGAGAGAGGGCACCCATCCCCTTACCTCTTCTTCGGAACACTTTTCACTCCTCTAAGTGAAAGGCGCTGACTTGATAAAAGCTTCAGAAATGATTAAAAAAGAAATGAGAAAACTGTCTTTGCACACCCTATAGGAGACACCACTTAAGGATCCGGGTCTCACATGGGCAATGCAAATTGAAGGTGTGAAGTTTAAGGAGTTTCTTTTATTGTTCAGTAGTAAATTTTGAGAAACAATATATTTTATGTACTGAACATATTCCTTTTCTTTTTTATGGGAATTAATTTTGTAGAAGATATATTAATTTTCCTGAACTTTTTATTTTGAAGAAGCTTATAGCTATAAAAAAGTTGAAAGAAGTATACTATTAAAGAAAAACACAAATTATGCTTCCTGAGTAAGCTTTCTTTTCTTTCTTCCTTCCTCTCTTCTTTTCTCTCTCTCTCTCTCTCTTTTTTTTTTTTTTTTGGCCAAAACCAATTAAACAAATCGAGACCAGATTGGTCAGATCTCGAGGTTCCAGAGTCAATATTTTAGCAAAATAGTGGAAAAACGTAGAAGCTGATAATTACTATATCCTTGTGGAAGGAGTTTGTTCTACACCTTTGATAAAAAGAAATCAGGAGTGAGTAAAAGAAAAAGATATATGGGGAAACAGCCACTAGCCCGGAGAGAGGATTAACATGCTGAAGCCACCCTGACTTCCTTCAGGAGCCACACATGGGAGAAAGCCCAGCACTAGAATTTCTATATTCTGAAATTTAATTCTGGCTGGACTACTGCTCCAAAGGGCTGGTACCACTTAGGAGATGATGACTTGTTGTCTTTATTTGTAGGCATTAATTTTGTTCACATCATCTTATAAGGTAAAAATTCATTGTTTAGTTATGTTCAGCATTTCTTGGGCACCTTCCATGTTCCAGGCAGTCAGACACAGGAGATACACAGAAGGATAAGTCAGAATCTTTGACTTCAGAAGCTTATAGGCTCTTCAGGGAAGCAAAGGAGTAAATGGCTACACCGTAAGTTTTCTAAGAGTCTCTCCTTTTCTAAGTGCTATGGAAACAGAGAAGGATGTGCCTGGTGGATTCACTGTGCCTTGGTGGTGACATTTGAATTAAACCTTAAGGAATGAGTAGGATGTTGCTAGGCAGAGTAGGGCATTCCAGGTAGAGGGACCATTGATGCAAAGGCATGGAAGCTTAAAGGGTGGGATGAGAAAGAGCCTTGTGTTTTCCAGGATGATGAACTGTAGGGCAAGGGGCTTGAAACTGGTAGTGCTCAGTTAATTAACTAATTGATTGATTAACTGTTACAATGATTACCATTTATCGCATGCGTAATATGCACAAGGCACCCTATGATATTTATGGCTGATACTTACTTGAAACTGAGATTAGATTTGGTGGGGCAAAGGACTAAGTAATTCTGTCAGAGGCTCTGTATATTTGGGCAATAACTTTGGAGGGAGTTGTTTAAGGCCCCTAGCAGCGAACCTTACCTACTACAGTGAGCTCCAGACTGAAGGAATTCTGTCCAGTTTTGTTGGTAGCAATGCATGTGTAGGTCCCTGCATCACGTTGAGTGAGCGGGTCAATGAGCAGAGAGTGGACTCCAGTCTCTCTGACCAGCATCTTGTGGGAGGCATCTGGTAGCACAGGTTGGCCATTGAGCAGCCATGTCAGCTCTGGGGGTGGTAAGCCACTCACCTAATTTTTTTTTAAAGAAAACAGGACAGCTGAGGCAAATGACAAACTGATGACAGGCAGATTTATTTGGTGACTGAGTTCTTCATCCTTATCTGGCACCAAGCAGTGGAAGAGAACATGGGGTAGTGAAGGGACACCAGGACAAGAGGCATCTGGACAAATGGCCACATGAATTTAAACAGTATAGTTTTTAGACCCCAATTCAGGTCATTAGTATGTTCTAGATTAGAATAAATACAAATTAAGAAGCTACACAGATAAAATAGGCCTGCAGCATCAGTTTCAGAAATGCTGTATCTTACATACCTAATAAGTGAGAAGTAGCCAAGTAAGGGACAGACACTGAACCAGTTTTCTCAAACCTGGCTGTGTAACAGTCACGTGGGGAGCGTTTGAAAATCCTAATGCCCACTATTTAGCATAGTAATGTTAAATCAGAAACACTGGGGATGGGACCCAGGCTAGGGTATCTGCTAGGGTTTAGAGTGGACGAAGTAACAGTCAATCCCCAACATTATTCAGGCATTCATTGGGAGAGCAAGGATCATCAAGAGAAGTGGACTTTATGAATGCTAACCTCAAGCCTTTACTAACTTGCACCTAAATTTTCCATAGCACTCTGCATCTTTGTTGGGGAAGACGGGCGACTTAAGTTTCTCTGCATACGGGGAAATATCCAGGCTGCTCAAGCAAACCTCATTTCTGATCAAAGAGTTAGAACGTAGCATAGCTACAGGTGACAAATAATGATTAGCATGAGAAACTACCGTCTGTTTTCATAAACTGCCTTGGAGCCATCTTTTCATGACTTAATTTTTAAAAGGCTCCCAGAATGCAAAAGTCACGTTTTGGCTTTATAGTAATAAAGACTTCCCAGGCACCACAAGGAAAATGTCAGAATTATATCACCTCTTTCATTGTTTTTTACACACACAGAGTTAACTTGATACAATACCAACAGTAAGATATAAAGACTTAAAAATTTCAGGAAATATTTTTTGTCTACTATTAAGTGCTTCAAAAGAGCATTGTTGGGGAAAAAAGTGATCTCTCTCCCTTCCCCAGTCCTCTTTTCCTTGGAAAAAAACCCCCACAAAATAAAAACAAACAAAAATAAGTGCAAACAAACAAACAATTGCAAAACGTGAACAGATCTGGAACCAAGGGTGGCACTAAGGTCTACCTTGCAGTCCAGCCGACAGAGGCGCCCCTCGTGAGCTACCATATCCCCAGGAGCCTGCAGGAAATGTGGCCGGAAAAAGCGTTCCTGCAGGGGCTCCTTGTCTTTTTCTTGCACTCGGGATCTTCCTCTATAACAACAAACATGTTCAGGCATTAAATACAGAAACCAGTTTACAAACTTATGACAGTAGGCATTCAGGCATGGCCATTGAACCTGGAAAACAGATTTTTTTTTGTTTGTTTTTTTTTGTGGGTGGAAGTTGGTGAGGGAGGGAAAATACATTGCTGGACTATAAACAAATATTAAATAATGGTGTGGAGCTGATGTAACAAACAAAGTGGTAAGTATCTCATACACTGCAGGAATATCTTGTGAGATCTGTAATCAAATAAACAGGCTTTAGCTTCTTTCTCTCTGAAGTCATTCTGGGTTAAGTGGCTCAGCTCCTCTTGCCTTGGGTTTGACCAGTTGTTCAAAAGTTTCAAAATAAACAAATAAATCAGTATTCCTGCTGAACCTCAAACGAAAGCCAAAAGAAAAGTCCTGTTTATTACCCAGAACAAGGCAGCTGCAATCCCTGTGTCTCTGAGTAATAAAATTTAACCTGGCTATAAATTATGGCAGATCATTAAAGATTATCATGAACTTACTGGTTCAGAATGACCCACAGTAACAGCTGTTCTTGGAAAAAAAAAAAATAAAGAAGGTATAGTGCAACAGCGGTGAAATACTGTATCTGAAACATGAGTCAGTATTTTTGTTTTTTTGGTAAGTCAAATTTAATTCACCCATGTCAGCACCTATGAAATGCTTTGCTAAGATTTTATGGTGCTATAAGAGTCAAGGAAAAGCCATGCTCTCTTTTTTTAGTGGTTAGGTGAAATCAGAGAGAAAGAAAGCCAAGTAGTTTATTAGAGACAGTTGGTATATTGGAAACAACGATAACAATATTCAATCTATATCCCTATAAGCATTAACAGTTTTTGTTTTATTAAAGAAAAAATGATAATTCCAGGTCTGATTTATATGTAAACATGTACTACTGAGGACTACAAATTTTGAAGCATTAGACGTGTGCTGTAGGCCAGTACTTTTCAAATTTAGTGTGCTTATGAGTCACCTGGGAATCTTACCAAAATGTAATTCTGATTCAGTAGGTCTGGGGTGGGGCTTGGGATTCTGCATTTGCAATAAGCCCCCAAGTGATACTGATGCTACAGGTTGATGACTACACTTTAAGTAACAATTTCTAGACCTAGTACTTCAGTACTCATTGTAATGGGTGGTTGCTTGGGACGGGCTAGAGAAGGAAGATTCTTATTGTCTTTACCTGTGAGACTGACCAGTAGGTGTTAGTCGACTGCGAATGGGCAAACTTTGTACCATTAAGTGACCAGAACAGCTGATTCTCCCCTAAGAAAAAGAAAATGAGTAAGGCTAAAATAATAATTCCACATTTTTAAATTTATATATTAATAAATTTTTTTGGACATGAATATTACCAACCTTTTGGCTAACTATTATAAGTTTTCTTTGGGGGGATAAAAAGATAATATGACTCCTTAAATCACTGTTAATAGTCCATGGGGAGGGGTTTTTAAGAATATTTTGATGACTTTCACTTTTTAAGCTGAGAAATGAACAGAGCACAAATGGAAAAAAAAAATGGATTCTTGCGCAGCCACATTCAGGGATCATGACCAGGTGTTTTTATACTTGCCTCAATAGAGATTATCTTCAAAACTAATATTTTAGTAGGAAGAGTAGGTGAGAGTAGAAATTCCTATTCTGATAGTAGCTGAATATATTTATTCAGCCATGTCTTTTAGGGGAAGTTTAAGTCAATCTCATTCAGGAAAACAAAAGATTACGGCTTTCTAACTTTTACCAAAAAAAAAAAGAAAAGAAAAAGAGATTCTGAGTTTGAGAATACTCACAAAACTTTGTGAAGTAATTTGCTTATTCCCTGAATGACAAAAACAATCTTTCTTTGATAGATTGATTTATTAACTCTTCAAGAGAGTCAATGAGTTGATAAACACAAGATTTGGCCCAATAGGTCTGGGACATGTATACAGGGAATAGGTACCACTAATGTTCTTTGACAAAGGCTCAAGGGTTGAACAACCCATCAGTGGCTAATTGGTCTTCTAAACTGTGATACTGTGCTTTAGTGGCACACTATCACAATGCTTCTCATTCATTTTCCTCAGCATTCTTCAGTAACTCGCACTTCTCAAGTTCTCATTCATGACATCAACTGCTCCTTCCTCAGAGTGCAGCACAACGCTGAACTCTGCGTACCCACCTGGGGGTTGGCGGCCATGATGGTGTAGTTGCCATCATCATCACTGGTGGTGGATTCAATGTGCAGAGAACATGTTCCATCTCCTTCTCGTTTCATCTTGCAGTGCTCATTTCTCTTTGAAATCTGCTTTCCATCTTTGAACCAGTAAACCTAAAATAAAAGATGATCAAGGAGCATATACATTTTTCTGCACATCTTCAGAGGATAATAAAGTAGGGAGTAGGGTGAGGCAAGAGCTGATTCTCATCTGTATAAGTGACTCATCTCTTATAAAACACTTAGAAAAAATTATAAAATGTATTAAAAGTAGTGTAATATGCTCCTGCACTTGTACAATGCTTAAGTCAAAAATTCTATATAATTTAGGATCAAGATGAAGCTTTTAACTATTTTTGTTATACTTCATAATTACTTAGAAAGTTACCCTAAGGACCAGACATGTTTTCAGAGGCAAAGAAAAGAAAAGAAAAAAAGAAAACCGGGAGCCTGAATATTTTCCCATTGTCCTATCCCATTACATGCTCAAGTCTTCTGCAGTTGCAGATCCCAGGATCTAGACAAGCTCACCTTGCTTGAAAGGATAGTATGATTTATTATGTTAAGTGGAATGAGGGCAGGATTCACCCACTAAATTTTCATCCAGCTAAAATTTGAATATATATATTTTCCATGTTAAGTTCTGCATGTATCAAGGAGATATCTCAAAGATGGGGGGTAGGAGGTAGGTGGGTAGGATAAAGTACTGATTGCAGCTGCCCTTGTCTCCATTTCCTTGTCCCCTAATGTTACATGATAACACCATGCTAATTACTGTTTGTGAAAGAAGAGTGGAGAGATCCCCTGCTACAGCAAAACTGTGTGTAAATCCTTCTCTCCGCTGACTGCCAAAAAATCTGATGACTCATAAGATTTTTCAGCAGTCAGTGATAATGATATATGACATTTTTAGCATTTACCAACCTAATAGTAATGACACAAATATAGCTCACTTTGTACAACTACAGGTACACTGGGGATATTCAATAAGTGCTAAGTTAAAAAAAAAAATCAATTTGGCGAGTTCGATGATTGAGAGAATCAGTAGCCCAAAAGAGGGAGTCATAACTCAGAAGTTTATTTTAAAATTTTAATAAAATTCTAACTTATCCATAAGTCTGATTTGGTTTTGGCCTACTTAACAATCTAATTCCTGACTGTCTTTTTTTAGCCAAATTATCTGGGCTGTGTTAATTTTCTGGTATTGGTTTTTATTCCATTTGTAGATAGTTCAGTTGAGTCTGATAAGACTTTCATAAAGTACTGTCTACAGTTCTGTGCTGTTACTTTGCCAAGCGGGTTGTCATCTTCCCTTACCTTTGGAACAGGTATTCCAACAATTTTGCAGGTGAATGTGACTGGAGAGCCTTCCGTGACCCGGAAGTGCTTGAGTCTCTTGTCAAAGATGGGAGCAATACACTTGCCTGTGGGGATCTCATCGTGTTGGATTTCATCATCTGATTCATCAACAGGGGTTCGTTCCAGACGAAACTCTATTTCATTCATCAGTCTCTGCTCAAAGCTTGAAATTTTGTACTCCTGTCAAAATGGCAAACATGGTTCAATTTCAATTTCTATGGGTGAGGAAGAAGGTGACATTATAATTTGAAGATGCAACTTTTTAAGGTTCAGAAGTTAGATTTATATCATGGAGCCCCAATAAACAAGGCATGTTCCATTTCCAGTTCCTCACCATGAGCACTAAAGGTGATTTCAGTGTCTCTACTATAATCCCAAACTGCCTTAGTGAATCCCGATTCCTCACCTTGAGCATGGAGCCCCAGTAGAATCCTGTAGGGAATGGAATGAAGATGGAATGTAATTTCCACAACTACTATTAATGTCCATTTCAATATGTAGAACTGCCTATGTGGAATTTTGGCAAAGCTATCCTGTACTGCATTCTGATGGATGCTTGCATTACCAATTTCCTGTCTCTACTGGACATTCCCATCTGTATACCTAAAGAAAATCTATCTTGAATAAATCTTCCTTGACTCCGTATCAGTCTTCATTGCATTTCTCTGCTCCTTTAACAACAAAAATATTTGAAAAATATTTTGTATTGTTACAGGATCATTTCCTTGTCACCTGTTTTCTTGCTAACCTACTCTCTAGTTAGGACTGTGTTCTCACTGTTCCACTGTAGTTACTATTGCTAGGGTCTCCAGATTTGCCAAAACCAGTCGTCACTTCTTTGTTCTTACCTTATCGGACCTCTCAGCAGCATGAGACACAGATGGCTACTTATTTTTGAAACATTTTCTTCTGTTGTGTATTCATGACACCATACTGGTTTTCCTTCTCTTTCTCTGGCTCTCCCTTATCAGTCTCCTTTGCTACCTCCTAACTGTAGGTAGGTGATCTCATCCAATCCCACAGCGTCAGATACCTTCTGTATGCTGAATGGCCCCAAATCCATATCTCCAAGTCTGGTCTTTCCCCAGAACTCATATACCCAGTAATCTACTCTGTATCATGAGAGTCATATGCCCAGTGATTTACTCGATACCATGGCTTGGGTGTCCAATGGGCATCTCAAATGTAGCATGGTCCAAACAATGCCCACTTGATTTCTGTCCCCCAGAAATGTTCCTACTTTGCTCTTTCTCATCTTAGGAAATGGCATTTCTATTCATCCACTTGGTTAAGTGGTTAAGCCAGTGTTTCTCCACACTATCTATGGTGAAAACCAGGTTTCTAAAAATTTCCAACCTGTACTTTTGTAAAACAAAGTAAGAATGAATTACTAGAAAAATGAGAATTTAAAAGCATGCAAAATTATTATAAAAGACATGAAATTTTTCTGTCTAATTACTATAAAAGTTTCCTAGTGGTTACTCTCAATTTCTGTACTTATCTCAAGGTGGAAAGGAGGTAGCTTGCAGACTGCACAGGTCCTCAGACCACCCTTTGAGTGTACCCACTTAAACCCTAAATCTAGGACTTACCCTGAATTCCTTTCACTCGCTCTCTCTGCCATATTCTAGCAAGCTTAAAAGTCACCTCCCCAAAGCAGCCTTCCCAGGCCACTTTATCTAGTAATTCTCCTCTCTAATTTTCTGTCTAATACTGGTTGCTATCTAGTATTTTTTGTGTTTGATTGTTTCTTGATTGAATGATTGGATATCTCTAAGCCCTAGAATATTACTTCCACAAGAGCAGAGATCTTGTTTATCTTGCTTCTTTCTGTATCAACAGCAACCTAAATAGTGAGTGCCTGCTTCATGGCAGGTACTTGGTGAGCATTGGAAGAAAGAGTGAATGCATGAATGCCACAGGGCAAGCCCTTGTTCCCACTCTACCACACCTTTGAGGAGTCTGGAACGTGTTTTGGTGATTTTATCAAGTTGGGGCCTGATCTTACAGAATTTAAAAATGCTTAAATTGGTTTCACACAAGGAACCACAAAAATAATACGATGAAAAACTGCATATTTTGTTTTACTATAAACATATACATGGTTAAATTTATTGTTTTACCAGTACTACAAATTGGGAGGTGATGGAAACAGAACAGTCAGTGAATTATTTTAAAAATACTAACAGAATTGATTTCTTTTCCTTTTCCTTTCAGTGTTGCTGGTCAACAGAGACAAGAGGGAAGGAGGGAAGGGCGGGCAGGGAAAGGGAAGGGAAGGGGAAAGTCAAGGAACATATAGCAAGGACTCATGGACAAAACCAAAGGGGAAGAGCTGAGGGAGGGAAGGAGGAAGGGGACAAGGGAAAGTGGTGGGGGGGAGGCAGAGACAAATGTATTTAAAAATAAGTAAATAAAGAAAGAAATGCTTGGAAAAAAAATAAAAATACTAACAGAATTGAGAGCCCATTGTAATACACTTTGTCAATGAAAATGATAAAACAGTATATTGATAAGTTGGGGCACTTGTGATAGCTTTAATTGTGTCTTCTTCAGAGTTGCTTCTGGCACAACTAGGAGTGGAAGAGCATTAGGTATACGTTTATTCTGGGGCCTGGGAGAGCTTCTTATTTTCCTAGGGCAGTTTAACTGTAGGTGAAAGGGGGAGCAGATATGACAAATGATGACACCCACAGAAAGCTGCTACCTGATGACACTTGGAAGTGATTGTCTTTAACATCACAGACATAACACTGAACAATAGGGAGATGCACAAACAGTTGAACTTGGAAGTAGCTGTATTAGCTTTATGTAATAAAGGAAGCTTTTTTAACTTAAAAAAAAATAATAACAATAAAGAAATTGAGTGTCCAGAAATAAACTCACATGTTTGTGGGCAAATACTTTTTGAAAAATGAGCCAAGAACATACAATGGAGAAGAGAGAGCCTCTTCAATAAGTGGTGCTGGGAAGATTGAAAAGACACATGCAGAAGAATAAGACTAGTCTGCTATTTGTTACCATACACAAAAATTAACTCAAAATGGACCAAGGATGTAAATATAAGACCTGAAACAATAAATTATATAGAAGAAAACACAGGTACTAAACGTAGAGACCTTGGTCTTAGAGAATATCTTATTAATTTGACCTTGAAGGCAAGTGTTGCTCAGTGGGGTGGAGTGTCATCCTATAGACCGAGGGGCTGCAGTTCAATTCTCAGGCAGGACACATGCCTAGGTTGTGGGTTTGGTCTCCAGTCAGGGCATGTGCAAAACTGATCGATGTTTCTCTCTCACATTGATGTTTGTCTCCGCCCCACCTTCCCTTCTCTCTAGAATTGATAAGCATGTCCTCTAGTGAGGATTTTTTTTTTTTTTTAAGGCAAGGAAATTCAAAGCAAAAAAAAAAAAAAATAGGATGTATCAGACTAAAAAACTTCCGTATAGCAGAAGACACTATCCACAAAACAAAAAGCCAACCAACTGAATGGCAGAAGTATTTGCAAACAACACCTTTGATATGAGGTTAATATCCAAAATATATAAATAATTCCTACAACTGAATAACAAAAATCAAACAATCCAATTAAAAATGAGCAGAGGACACAAGTGGACACTTCTCCCAAGATGACATGCAAATGGTCAACAGATATGAAAAGATGTTTTTCAGTAGCTATTAGGGAAATGCAAATCAAACTACAACCCCATACCTGTTAAACTAGTTATTACCAACAAGACAAGTAAATAGTAAGTGTTGGAGAAGTTGTGGAGAAAAAGTAACCATCATTCACTGCTGGTGGGAATGTAAACTGGTACAGCCACTGTGGAAAACAGTATAGAGGTGTCTCAAAAAATTAAGAATAGAGTTATCATATGACCTAGCAATCCCTAATCTGGGTATCTACACCAAAAATTTGAAAACATTTATTCACAAAGATATATGTACCCCTATATGTTCACTGCAGTATTATTCACAGTGGCCCACGCATAGAAACAACTGAAGTGTCCTTCGATAGATGGCTGGATAAAGAAGATGTGGGACATATATACAATGGAATATTACTCAGCCATAAGATGAGATGGAATACTGCCATTTGTGGCAACATGGGTGGATCTTGAAAATACAATGCTAAACAAAGTCAGTTAGATGGAAAAAGTCGATAACCATATAATTTCATTCATATGGGGGATATAAAATTGAAAGCAACAATGAACAAAAAGACAAACAAACATACAAAAACTCATAGATGCAGACAAGAGCATAGTGTACCAGATGGAAAGGGGGTTGGGCATGAGTTAGTAAAGGGTAAAGGGGTTCAAATATATGGTGATGAAAGAAGATTTGACTTTGGGTGATGAATACACAATACACGGTACAGATGATGTATTATAGAATGGCACACTTGAAACCTAGATAATTTTACTGACCAATGTCATCTCAACAAATTTAGTTAAAAATACTATTTATAATTATTGAGCATACAGTCATAAACAGATTTTAACTGGAAGTTTCTATGGAGGCACCAAGGTGGGCTATGTATTAGAAAATAAATGAATTGGGAGACAAACTATTCTCCAGAAATTTCAAATCAGGTGCCTAAGGATAGGTTAGATGATTTAAAGCCTTCATCTCTGTTAGACATATAAGAGTCAGGAGGGAGAAGATCAAGTGAGAGGACATTGGAGACAGTTACTAACGTCTGTAAGTCTCCTACCTCCGCCTCCAAGCCCAGAGTACCTCCCTTTCACCTGAAGTCTGTCTAGCATGGTCTCTCTCCCCTGCCTAAGAAATCTAGAATGAGGATGACGTGGACTTTCGTTGGTGGGCGGCTTTGAGTAACTGCGCTCCTGCACTGTATCAGGGAAGAGACCCTGTGATGGTTCTCATCATGCACATGGGGTCCCACATGATGCAAAGCCAGTGTGGGTCAGCTTAGTCCTTCCATGACTGGGAAAGGAAGGAGTCATGAAAATCAGTTAGTAAAGTGAGGCAAAGGGAACAAAAAAGAGAGAAACTGGTCCTTCTTGGCTTTTTAAGTTCCATTCTTGCAGCAGTCCCTGGGGTGTGGCTTGGGATGTGGGTGTTTGTATGTGGGGTATTGGTTTTGAATAAGGATAGAGTGTTGGTTACTACAAGGACTGGGAATTTTGTATGATTGGATCAAAATTGTAGTTTTT